ATGAGGATACACTATGTTTACGTAAACTTCACGCTCCTTTTAACAAACCGTATTACAGGGTACTAGGCCTTATATTTGCGCATGTCGCCCAGTACTTGACGACTCAATTCGTATAATCATCACAATTGTGTATTTAATAGAACGCAGTAATTTTTTTTTAAATTAAATGGGGATAGGTTAGAGTGACAAACGAGCACACAGTCCACCTGATGATAAGTGGTTGCTGCGGCCCATAGACATCTACATCTATCCTCGATTACGATTCAAAATGCAGATGCGTTGTCACCCGTGAGGACTAAGATGGAATGCCTCGTTACCAGTAAAAAAGGTCTCCGGTTCTCTACACTCACCATACGAAACACAGCAACATTAAGCTACTATTTTACGCTGGTATTCTGTGAGAGCGTGGTTCTTCCCCGGTCGAGTCAACCCATTCGTGCACGACTATACTACTGATATAACTGCAGCATGACTCTACCACGTAAAAATATAATAATTGTAATAGACACTTATATAAATACCTCAAGATTTGGCAAAGCTCATAACGTTTCTAGAGCCGGATCCGCATTCACCTCCAAAGTGGCGCCTAAACTCTCGGCGTCCGATAATAATTATTTTTAAAGATAAGATATACGGCGCGTTCAGCGCACGAGTCAACGGCCGCTCGACGCCTCGCCACAAAAAGCATTATTCAGTTTCATTTGCATTTTCACCGCCGATCACCAATACGACAGGCACTTTAATGTTATAAAAAACGACGCATAATATTTTAATGCCCTTATAAGAATCATTCAACTGCAAATTCTGGCGGCGAACCTCCGCAATATTGTTGTTTACGCGCCGACCAGCGATGTCCGTGTTTCATGCATCCGTTTCCGATCGAAAATAAAGCAGATAGCAAGCGGCGTAAATCAAATTTAAAACACTTATTTCATATATTATATTAAATTAATATTTGATGCTAATAGCGGCAGTTGTTTACTGGCGATATATTTGAGACGCGTAGGCATGTAACACTAATAAAAATGTCATAAACAAGTTGTATTTTATTTTGGACGACACTTTGTTTGGCTGCCATTCAGAACACATAAAATGTGTATGTTACTCTTTTCTTTCTTTTACGAATTCTAAAAGTAACGACTTGTGAACATAATGATAGCATTAAATTATAGATTCAAGTGTTGTGTGACAAAGAATGATTTGTAAGTCAATTTGTCGAAAACACATGATGAAAACAAAATGAGCACGCTCGGTATAACTAACGATCGGATATCCTTGTAGGGCTGTGGTCGAGCCGGTCGGTGGCCCAGTCGTCGCAGAATAGTGTCTGCCGGGCGTCTAGCGCACCTCGTGAGTCACTTCACTCGTTGGAATCTGACCGAATACGGATCTTGATCCGCCGCCGGTTTCAACGCATCTGCTTTTAATTTGCCTCGTCTGAAATATCGATGGTGCGCCGTTTTTATTATCTCGTAACCCTGAAGTGGTTTTGCTGAGCGCGCCCTAATAATATCGTCTTATTTTAACACACTAAACAGCAATCCGATGTGCAGATATTTTGAAACAAACATTTCGAATACTTTTACTATAAATGGCTACTGCAAGCTCAAGAATCAGATCACAAAACTAAATATCACTGGTAATTTCGGCATTTTTTAATTCTTTAGGAGTTAGGACACCGCATGAGCGTTTGAGTATAAGTAGTTACTGTGGTCGGTTGTATATAGCATACTTAGTATGTCCATAAAATTTTTAACACAATAGAATCAAATTGCATACCTTTTTTAAAAACATTGTAGTAATATTAAAACTTATGAATATATTATATTATTACAGTCTAGACGAGTAATTAAAAACATTTTATTCAAAGTTGCCACCTTCAGCTTTGAGATAAGCCTTTAATCTTTCTGACCACGAACTAAATTGAATTGAGAAAAAGATTTCACGAGACTCAATGTCGGAGTAATTTTTTGAGCACGCCATCTCCTCTAGTACTGACGGTAGTTTTTATCACGCGGGTTCAGCTCTGGATTGGTCGAAGGCCAGTCTTCAGCTCTTGAATGTTTGAATTAGGGCATGATGTTTTGTGTATCGACGGTATGCTTACCGTCGATACACAAAACATCATGCCATCAAGCATCTAACTTTGGATCTTGTTTAATAATTCTCGGCAAGAGATCTACCCGATCGATAATGTTTTTTTTTTGTTAGTGTACCCAAACTTACAGTTTTTTAATGCGTCGTAAAAATGACTGACGGCTTCATACTAACATTGTGAAAATAATATAAAATGGCGACAAATTGATCGAAGTTTCATATTATGTTATTAATCGCGGGCTTAAACCTCGCATGGAACAAGTATTTTTATATCACTGACAAATAATTGTTCTTGGTCTGGACGTTTGTCCATATACACCTTCATGATAGGGAAGAAAATCCTATTCAGGGAAATAACTGTTTTTTTTTTATTAATATAATCACGAGTGCGACCTTGATTGTATTTTAATTGTATTTACTGTGTCTGGTTTACAGTGAGTGTTTATGTAGATTTACGTTAGGGTTTACTTCAACGCATCACACATTAATAGAGTTCTAAAATGGAATCATTTTTTTCGGTTCGGTTCGTACATTCGGTCGAAAACTCGTTTCATTCAAATCTTTAGAATTACTAATATAATTCTAAAATACAACATATATTTAATTCTTTATAAAAGAGTTTACACAAGAGTTACATAAGAATTAACACAAAAAGGTAATTTTTAGATTGATGTTATTCTTAACAATCCCGATGCGATCATAGGGGGGGGAGCAGTCGGCAACATTATCTTAATTTTATTCTGTTATATTTCTGTTATATCACAGTTTAAATATAGTGTTATATCTTTTAAAAAATATTCGAGAATGACTCATTTTCTGAATAAAACTATTAAATACTAATAGCGAGTAGCGACACGCTCACGTAAGACTGGTAGCAGGACACAAACGAGTATTATTATTACGTCTTGTTGTGCGCTCACGTCCGGTACGACATACATATTTTATATTAGATATTTTCATCTATCAAGCAAATAAACATTAATACAATTATTATTATTTTGTTGTTCTCTTCGCTAAATAAATGAATTCTACTAAAAGAATATATAAAAATGTGAAAAATAATTAAAAATTATTATGATCACAATAATTTTCTTTTATACTGACACAATAAAGTAAGTAGGTACATAATTATATTTTATTACTATACACATATTACAATTAATCAAAGTTTTTTCTATTGATTCACAATACACTAGTCAGATAGTGCCCTCTCAAAAATGAAAGTAGGCATATGCCCAACCGTGTGACGTATATAGGCTGTAACTTTAACTTTTAACTTTAAATGACTACCGTGATAGACTTCGTAGTGTGAATATTCGTAATAGAATTGGAGTAAACGAAAAGCCACGAATCTGGTAGCTAAAGTGGCATTGCACCAGCTATATAGCTTGCAGAACTGACCACCGATGGAGAAGAAAGGCGGCCTGCACTGGTTGGAGTCACGAACGGGCAGGAGATGCAGAAATTCGATGTATACACACGTATCATAGGCTCAGGTTTTTTGTGGCGTTCCTTGAAGAAGACATATGTTCAGCTGTGAACTTGTGATGGACTGTAATGACGATAATGATAAAATAGTTACATACTTTTGCACTAAACGATTAGTTGCGCTTATAATATCTAAATAACCCCACCCAAGCATTTCTACAATAGCTTATTATTGAATGCATTCAAGGTAGCAAAGGAGAACAAAGATAAATGGCTGTCCATATTTACGGAAATGAATTGACACTGCGCAAAGTGACTTGCACAAAATGTCAGATTGTGTCTGACTAAAATTAAACAAAATATATTCTTTTTTTCTTTATTTATTTATGTACAAATTAGTGACATATGGTAGCGGAGTGAGAGAATCCATAATTCCATTTCGTTCAGTAAGTGTTGTAAAACGCAGCTCTAAGAAGAGACATAAAAATATAATTCCGGTAGAAGGTGGGTTTACCTCGTTTACGTAAAATATTAAAAGCCGCGACGGGTAGGAGCGGTAGAGGTGCGATACGTCCACAAAAATCTAAATAATGTTAGATTTCTGTGGATACGTCTGACACTGCGATCGACAAAACGCCTTGATAGGCTTGATAGGCGTGACCACAGAAATCGTAATATCATTATTACTACTTCTGTGAGCGTGACAGTTAAGCCAATCCCTCTTTACAGGTAAAAGGCATTTATGGGCTGATAAAAAAAGAAGCCATAACTTACCCAAACCACATTTTAAATATGGTCATTGAGAGATAACCATTAGCTCTGACTTTTTTAATACGTGATTTCTCGTCTCTTGGAATCGACTTTGAATGAAAGTCATTACTGACTTGGTGACTCCCACGGGGAACGTCATTTGAAATCTTACGGTCATTGATTACCTTAAAAATTATCGTTGAATATTTCTTAATTTTTTATCGCTAGACCTTCAATTTGTTTTGTATAAATCTTAATATATATAAATTACGTGTCACGTTGTTTGTCCGCGATGGACTCTTAAACTACTTAACCGATTTTAATCAAATTTGCACACCGTGTGCAGTTTGGTCCAACTTGAGAGATAGGATAGTTTTTTTTGCCCATGAGTGACCTACAATTTTTTTGCGAATTTAGGGATTTTAATAGGACATGACAAAGGGTCGTCGAAACGCGCAGAACAACGTCTGCCTGGCAAGCTAGTATATGATATATTTGTAAGAGAATACTGTGTGTAAAAAGTAGTTCCTTTTTTACAAACTTACTTTATAAATTATTCTGTGAGTTTTTATGCGTACTTCAATAAAATAAAGTATACATAGTACATTGGTGGGCAATAATTTAAAATGTAATTTGAAAAATAATTTAAAAAATTATTTTAAAAATAATTTAAATAATAACTAAAAAAATAACATAGGTATAAATATGAGATACTTTGTGTCCAGCCGGGATCTGCTGGTCGGGGATGGAGCGCGGCGGGCGCTGCAGTTCAGTGGCAGCGCTGCGCGTGGGCCGCGCGGAGTGCTGTGCTGGCGCCGACCGCTCGCCCGCCGCCTGGAGCCCGCGCGACCTCGACAGCGGCGAGATATTCTTCTACAAAGCGCTCTCTGGAGGCGTGCCTTGCACAGCTTGTGATGGTAAGACCGCAACTATACAACACGTAACATAATTAACGCACTTTGAGAAAGTAGTTTGTTCAGAATCGTTTACTGAATCGATTCCTATCATTTTTAATATAAGTAATTTTCTATCCCAAAAATAATTAAAACTACGTAAATTACAGTCACACTAAATCTGTACAGTCAAAACACACTGAAATGGACCGTAACTTAAGGCAATAAGACTATTAAGAGTGCAGTTTTATTTGTATTATTACTAATTCTGTCATTCAATAAAAATAAAGAAAAATGAATTTTATTTCAAGCACGTTAAAGTCTTTGCGTTCGTGGATTTGTACTGTGACCACAACATTCTTCCGGAATTAGTATAACTAATTTGATAAATAATCAGTGCATAAAAATGTTTAACTAAAAATTCAGTGTATGTATTATGATTATAACATAATATACTAATTGGGGTGTCTGAGGGTGTGCGTTAACTACGTTACATATTGTATATACAAGGGTATTTTTCAGAAAGTAGCCAAATTTTAAACTTAAGTTTAAATATATAAATAATGATATACCGTTATTGCAGTTTTTGAAACTACGAGTAAATAAGGCTTCTTTTTTATTTGAAATTATCCCAAATTTAGTTCGATTTATGGGCAACAACGTTTTTACCTACCGATCGACCCCTATGAATGTAATATGCAGTAAAATCAGTTAAAATAATGCATAAATGCATTTTGAATTTAAAAGATAAAAAGGGCAGAATTTATGAGATATTTTTAAATTAATTTTTCTTCACCATTTGCCTATATTACGTATTCAGAAACTTATCAGCATATTTGCCGGTAATTGCAAAATAATAAATAACCCTGTATAAACGGTTATATCTATTTAAAGAGTAACCGTTTATATATTCCATAACAATGTAAATGAAGAATTTAAGAATAATTTAAAATATTAATAGTTTTGTAATTATAGTTAACAATGTTGAAACCACTTTAATATACGAGTATGAAAAGCATTATAATTCGACTGTATGTATTTTATGTGCGTATATAACTTTATATATACGTCTATTTTGAACCAGTTTTGATGATTCTTTTTACCCGATAGACCCCTAAAAAGTTACCCATTTACGAATGTATGTATAAACGTATTTATGTGAGTATGTATGTTTATTTCTTTGCCACGCTCTCTAGCCTAATTAGCTTGATTGATTTCAACATATTATAGATATCGTTAGATTCATCTTAGTAGTGAGAGCGACATAGAGTATAGAATTTTACTTTTTTTAGTAAACTTTTCCTAGTGTTAATAACTATTTTAACCATTCTGCTTGTTTTATTAAATGCTATGCTTCAGGTGTGGTTCGGTATAAACTTCGACATAACGTTGGTGCTTAAATAGGTTAATAAGTTTTTGATCCAGCTATTTAGTCGCTATTCACATTGTGACTTCCGTTCATTGATCAGATCATTCAAAAGAGTAAAAAGTAATTCTTCCAATAACTACATGAATTAGCATCGACTACATGAATATGAAATTATTTTATTCTTTCAAGTCGGCATTTTATTATGTAATATTTTTTTTAAACTATTTTTATGAAAAATTGTCATAAAAATTATCAAACTATCTATAATCTATATATCTATAAACACTCACGCCTGTCACCCACAGGGGTAGGCAGAGACTACAGACTTCCATTTGGCACGATTCTGACACACCTCTCTTGCCTCCTTCACATCCATACACCTACGCATACATGCTCGTCGGTTAAGGGTACTCCTAATTTGGCCCGTTTTCAATAAATCGCCAATTTGGTCGATAAATTTTCGTCTAGGACGTCCCTTTCCGACTCTGCCATTCACTTCTGCACCATAAATTTTCTTTGTCACTCTTTCCTCATTCATTCTTTCCACATGACCAAACCACCGAAGCATTCCTTTCTTAATCCTGGTCACAACATCATCTTGCAAACCACACTCTTCTCTTATTACACAATTTCTTACCCTGTCATTCAGATTCAGCCCTAACATACTCCTTAACGACCGCATTTCTACTGCGTTTATTCTACTCTCGTGCTTCTTCTGCCACACCCAACTTTCCCTACCATACGTTAAAGTAGGGACCAACACAGCATTGTGAATTGCCATACGTGCCTTTTTCGACACATTTTGACTCTTCACAATAGAGTGCAAGGCCCCATTTATTCTATTTCCCGCATTCACTCGTCGTTCTATATCCTTATCATATCTCCCATCCCTGCTAAATACGCAGCCCAAATATACAAACTCATCTACTTGCTCGATCAACTCCCCTTCTATTCTTATTTCACAAATCGTTTTACTTTCTTCTCTTTCAAAAACCATAACCTTCGTCTTACTTGCGTTCACTTTCATACCCCTTTCTTTTAATGATCCGTTCATTAATGTAACCATCATTTGCAACTCGGCCGCCGACGACGCAAGAATAACTTGATCATCGGCGTACAAAAGGCATTTGACGGTTAACTCACCCGTTCTTAATCCGCATTCTTCAACTTTCAAATTTTGCAAACAACTGTCCATAAATAGGTTGAACAGCCACGGGGAAGCCACACAGCCCTGTCTGACACCTTTATGGATGTCAAACCAGTCCGAGTAGACCCCGTTGATCCTAACACAAGCACTAGAGTCCCTATAAAGAGACTCCAATGCCTGTATCAAGCCAGCTCTCAACCCAAACGAGTTCAGTGTTTGCCATAACCCCTCCCCCTTTTTTGCCCTTTCTCAAAAACTTTTTTTTTCCTTTCTCCCGTAGATTGTCTCCTTCCCTTTTATCGCTTGCACTTCCAAATTTTTCCATCAGTTTCTTTCATGACCCTTTCAATCAGTACCTTAGCATACATTTTTCCCACAATGCTAAGAAGGCTGATGCCACGGTAGTTTTTACAGTCCTGCTGCGACCCTCTTCCTGTATATACTGGGACTATCACGGCTTTGCACCAGTCTACCGGTACCCGCTTCAGTTCCCAGCATAAATTAAACAAGGTGTGCAGCAGGCCTGCCACCACTTCCTCTCCAGCCCTTAGCATTTCGAGTGAAACTCTAATCATATCCGGCAGCCTTACCTGCAATCATGAGCTTTTCATTGCTTTCATTATTTCATCTATACTTATCTCGCTACCTCTTTCCTCTTCTTTCGGTGTTTCTACTTCACTTAGTACACACGTTGTCTCCTCACTCATAAACACGCTTTCAAAATATTCCTTCCATCTCTTTAAACTCAAAACTTCATCATTCAGAATATAGGCATTCTCGTCTCTTATAGCATTCATCTTAGGCTGTTTTGAATGTCCCCTGGCAGTTCTTACAAGTTTCCAGAACATTTTAATATTTGCCTGGAAGTTATCCGATATTCTTCTATCATTCTTATCCGTTCTTTCTTGCTTTTTTCTTTCAACTACTTCTTTTACTCTCTTATTAAGATGTCTAAAGACTGCCTTTTTTCTTTCAATATCACCATTCGTACCACTAGAATTACCAGCCTTTGTTGCTAGTAAATCTAGCCATGCTCTCTTCTTTGCTTCAACTTCCATACGTATCTCATCATCCCACCATAACGTATTATTTTTCCTTTCATTCTTCTCTTACTAACACCACATACTTTGGTAGCTGCATCCACTAAACTTTTCTTTGCATTTTGCCATACATTCTCCAAGTCTAACTCCTTCATACATAATTCATCCAAACCACTTATATTTTCTTTCAGTCTACATTTGAACTTGTTTTTATCACTTTCATCTTAACTGTCTGGAGTTAGCCAGAGATTGCCCAACAAAAGACCATTAATTCGGCATAAAACTAAATAATTATCAAACTCAATTAAAATTACACAAAAAATAGGCTTCATTAATAACGGCTCTTATACGTTCACCGATTTTGCAATACATGCTGAGGACGAAAGATAAGCGGTAGATTGTATAACAAAAATAAGGTCGACAGTACATCGCCCTACAGGCCAACATAGATCTAAACAATAGTGAAATAATCAGCCAGTTCATTCAAACATGATTCATATACCTTATATAATATTCGTTCACGCAGTCGCTATGAAATATACTTACAACTGACTGGTATCAAAGCGCACTAACTACCTACTTAATGATTTCTTACATTTACGCGAACACTACACATATAAATAAAACTAATTTTATTTAAATATGTAGTGATAGAATCCGTATCTATCGCATATATTTAACTTATTTTATATTCTAGTGACCATGGGTACTGTAAAGTGCTTGAAACGGGAATATAAAATAAGTTAATATACGCAATAGAATCCGTAAAAAGTAGTTTTATTTAAACGTCGACTACCTTCTATCCATTATAATTCAATTTTATGTAAATGTAAGGCAATATTCTGCTCCTCATATTTACAAATATTTTTAAAAAAAATATTTCAGTGAAAAGTTATGTCACGAATTATTATTTACATTAAACTTTAACTTGCTTTAAGGTTTTAACATAAGAGAAAACTATCCCACTTCCCCATTTCGTTCCGTTGGAATCGTAAGATGCGATTACTGGTAACTCTAAAAAGATATTATAGCTTCCAGTAGATGGCAGTATTTTATTTATACTAGCCACACACCCTGGCTCCGCCTGGGTAGAATAGGATATTGATTTATTTATTCTTTACCACAGGCGGTCTTATCGCTTTGAAAGTGATCTCTTCCAGACAATCTTGCATAGAGAGATGCAAACAATAGTTAAAATGGAGGGGGTGAACAAAAAGAATTAAAATACATATAAATAAGTATCGATAAGTCCAAATATTTATAATATGAAAAAGTAATTAAATGAAAAGAGTACGAAAAGTAATTAATCTAATAGCGTTCTAAGCAATACGATTTAACAAGATAATATAAGACCATTTATTTTAACAATATTTCGTTTTTTACGTCAATGTTTTCCAGTTGAAATATGATAATGACAAAAAATGAGATGGTCAATCATTATGACGACTAGACGGCAACTGTTCACAAT